AGGACAGACAGCGCACCTAATGATGTGCCTAATGATGTTTAAAAGATCTCAAAGCGCATCTTTTCCGGCGAACTGCAAAATAAATTTCCCTCGTACCGACCATAGCTGGACTGACCATCGGCCATGCGCGGTATGCCCAATCATGATTTTTCGTTTGTTCCGGGCCGATGGTTTTGTTGTTATTGTTGTTGTTTTTGTAACGGTATAAACAATGAAAGGTGGTGGATTGGCCAGATGCCGATGTGTAAAAATAACTCCGCCACAGGTGGTGGCTGTGGTGGAGCTTCCACAGAGGCCAGGTGGATGAGGGAAAGGGGAGGCAGGAGGAGGAGAGACCCAAGGCGGCCGCCGGTCCGAGTGTCGGGTCAACTGAACTTCAGGTAAGAAGTTATGACCTGCAGTCTATCTGGGTCAGATATAAGTTTAGGGGTAGTTTATTTTCGTTGTGCTGCCTTTTTACAGTCAGTTACAATAACTCATACTGCGTACTAGCTAGCATGACGGAGTTTCTATACAGCTGGACGGGTGCTATTATGATAGTGATAGTGATATGATATCGGTTTGGATATCCTGGTGAGAGGGAAACATGAAGATGAAACCAGGAGATGTCCTTACTGAATCATTAGAGCTGAGCAGGTGATGGAGAAACAGGTTTACCTTTAAGGTGACATGAATGAGTTGAAGTTATGAACTGTTTCTGAGAGACAAATAACATCAGGATCCTTTTCTAAGTAGCTGACAGCTGGTAACTGTGCAGGGGCGGGTCTAGCAAAGTTTTGCCAGGGGGGCAGGTAGGGCATTAACAGGGAAAGGGGGGCACAAAGAAATACTTTTCTTTCTTATTCTCATTTAAAATGTCTAGCTTGTAATAAATAATTATCTGAATCTTTTTTATCTGACGTAAAATGTATAGAAATCATAAATATACCAAAAAGACTGTACATCACTGTCACAACAGCATTTGTTTTCATTCAAAGGCTTTATGGCTTTTCCTATAATACCTGGTGTGCCGATCTCTAGTCAAAATGCCATGGTCAATTTTTTTGTCCCAGTCCAGCCCTCATACCGACCCAGTACTGGTAAAAAAAAAAAAATGTATGCAGATGAGGCATTATTTCTGTACCATTATTTAATTCCAGAGGTTTTTAAGTTTTTTTTTTGCACTTGTTGACTTGTAAAAGCCTATGACATATTTTATTTCATAATTCATTAGCCGCACAGAGATGGCATCGTTTAAATATGTTAAATGTGTTTCTTTAAGCAAGTTCTTCATAACTGAGCTAAGTGTCCTCTTTTTTGGAAATCAAAATATGGTCACCCACCCAGCTATGTTAGCATAACATAAAAACAGTGAAGCTGGAGGATGAATGCTAACTTTTGTCCACTTGATAAAAGTTAATGTGAGGGTTCTCGATGGCTAGGGACAAATGCAATTGCATGGCAGGATGTTATAAACAGATGCTGTAGACTAAAGTTAGCATGGGCTGAGATTTAGTTACATCGTAAGGTTTTAAAAACTGAGCTTTAAAATTAATAGTGGTAATAAAAGTTAGGAGACTGTTTTTATGGGGTTGTCCAGATCAAACAGAACAAGATATATAAGATATATAAGCATTAAAACATGTTGAAAACACAACAGCCTTATTAAACACAGAGTGGTTTGGACCCTGAAGCGGGGTTAATATGTCATCACTTAAAGACCGGATGAACAAAGAAAGAAATAGGACTTAAATAGATACAGGAGGTGATCAGGGTGTGACAGCCAGTGGGCTGGCCTTGTTTTCTTGTTGCCTGTCTCTTTCAGGTATGTGGTAGGTGGAGCCGACCAAATTATAGATGCACACCCGAGAAGGCCAGTCCCAGTATGTAAAGCCATTTTGACTGAACCTCTGTCTATCTCTCTTTCTTCATCTGTGGCGCATTATGCTCCTTTGGTTATGGTCAGTTATGGCTGTTGTATCATTTAACCTGTGTTTGAGTGTCTTTACTTTATTTAATTAAAATACCTTAAAGCCTTTAAAAACCTATGTGTGGTCTCCCACTTACTTGTCACATCCTTTCAGCCAGGTCGTGACAAATGGGGGCTCGTCTACACAATTATCTTGGCCAATTTGTTTTCTTGGCCTAACTCAAAAGACAAAATGTCCGGAGATAGAACCGGAGGTCCACAGTACCCAGGGGTCAACGGCACAAAAGTTCATACTCAGAAAACTCATACACTGCTGCCGACCTCGAAGTCCATAATTATGTAACTTTATGGCAACAGTGTGGTGCCTTGATAGGCGACAGGCACACTGGATGTGTCACGGTCTGCCACATAGACCGTGGGGATGTGGGGAAGGAGAACCCAGGCGCGGAGCTCTGTGTGCAAACAGTGCGTTTATTTACAGTGACGTAACTGATACACAACAATACATTCCCGTGTGTCCCCGACTTCCACTCCGTGTCTTCTCCCAGTGTTTGTGCTCCATGTGTCCGCTCCCTCGTGCCTGTGTACTCTTTGCCTTCTGGCCTCTCGGCCAGCAACACTCCTGGAAAAACAGAGGCAGTCGTTAGCATCCTCAATTTGACTGGTAACCTGTAAATTGTAAATACTGTAAAACCACTGTCATTTAATGGTCGGGCATTGCACAGCTACAAGCATTTCACCTCATGTCATACTGTGTATGGTTGTGTGTGCGACAAATAAAATTTGAATTTGAATTTGAAGCTCAAACTCACAAACAGACCAGTTGGAGACTACCGCGCTATGAATTGTGGGATATGTTGGGCCACGAAGTCTACACCGCCACGTCCTTAAAATTCAGGGAAATGAAGGACGCATTTGAGGGCCGCATTTCAAGCAGCCTTTGAATTGGGACAGTCTTCGTCGCATCGCGGTGACGTAATCGGCCTTAAAATGTGGCCTTTAAGGCTGCAGACCCTGAATTGGGATACCCAAGACTCTCCTAAGTAGCTCCCCCGACGAGCCCTGATCAGCGGCAGGTGTGTGGGTTTGGGTTTGGCCAGTCACCTACCAGGGCCACACCCACCAGGCCCGAAGGCACCTGTAAACAAGTGTTCAGACACACCTGCACCCATACACACACCCACACACACTCATATCTACAAGCATGGAGAAGAGGGGCAGCAACACCAAAAATACATATAATATAACAAGTCCATAACTGCTCAGGGACCCTGACAGGATGTGGACGTGACTTGAAAGGCGCCAGGCGCGCTGGACGTGACGGTGGCGGGGGAGCCCAAGTGGTGGAGCAGCCGGCGACAGCGTGGGAGCCGCGAGTGGTGGAGCCATGGATGACAGTGTAGCAGGGCCAGCAGGCGCGGAGACTATGGCAAAAACAGAGACATCTAGCTTCTGCTACTGCAGCTTCGCAGCTGACTAAAATTAACATAATGATACAGAGGAAGTGAAACTAAACATAATGACAAAGACACAAAAGACTCTTTCAAAACAAACCAGGAAACACTGAGAAAATAACAATAATCAAAGAATAAAACTAAAACACACAAAACACTGGGTCACAGACCCAGTACCGTGAAAATTGGTCCCTTCAGTCCCAGCTGTCACTTGTCCCTTGTTACATGTCACAGGTTGCACTAACACTTTAACCTCAGGACTCTGACCCTTCAGTTCTTGTGCAGTCGACCCTTTATTTGTTGTTTCACAATCATGCATAGTGATAGGTTTGTAGCATAAACCTATTCGCTGGAACGTTAAGGACAATTCAACTACACAGCAAAAAGCATTAAACACCAAGTAGGCAAAGTTCTTCGTGTTACTCATGCATGAGGGAGAGGACCACGACCCAGTCGCTCTCGTCCGCTCCCCCATAACATTGTTCTTTTATCGAGCTCACATGAATATACATAGGTTCATTAACATATGACGTATACATACACACAAAGAGTACCTTGCCTGTGCGTTGTGTGTGTGTGTGTGTGTGTGTGTGTGTGTGTGTGGGGGGGGGTCAGAGTGTGACCCCATAAGGACTTCCCTAAACCTGCTGGTCTGGAAGTCCAGCAGTTCATCTAAACAAAAGACACTTAGACTAAAACTGACATAGCTACGTTTATCCTACCATAAAACAATAACAGAAGGTACGACCTCTCCCATGCTCCCAGGATGTGGGTGTGGATGCCAGAACACTCTGGAATGCACACAAAGCCTTTGCAGACTATTAAGGATCACACATCCTATCACTACACAGTCGATTATACACCTCTAAGCATATATGGTTAAATATTTCTAAGCAAAATAAACGATACAAATCTAACACATAGAGTCTCTGTACAGTGGCTGAACAGTGTCAAGCAAACAATCTCAGTTCCTGGAGAGCAATGTATGGCACTGCACTAAGGAGTGCACAGAGTGCTGCACACTTAGTGGACAGCTTGGAGTGCACTTCATTCATTCTACTACTGATCCAGCCTAAACCTCCCATCCTTGAGTATCAAAATCCACACAATTTAGCCCTGATTGCTCACAACTACCTAGCATGCATGTTCGAGTCCGTGTTCTTCTTCAGTGCTCAACTCTTCAACAATATTAATTCCAGATCATGAACACTGGTAACTGAAAAAACACGGGCAACCGAGGCATCTTACATCATTAAGTAGATATTTTAATATTGGCATGTGATCAAATGAAATAAACAAGAACAAATTTTGCTGTCTCATATCCAAAAGCATTTAACAGAACAATATCAAAAATATTCCACAAATACAAATCTGTGTATGAAAACATTAGCTGTCCTCCTGTGTTTGTGTCTCACTCCGCATCTAAGGTTTCTTCTTGTTCCCCTATTTGAGATTCAAACCACAGGTCTACTTCACATCACTATTTCATTGATTGATTGATCACACAAACTAAATTTTCTGAAGGAGATGAGCTGGGAGGTCTGGAAGAGCTGGCATGTGCTGGTCATAGAAACAGGGTGGTTTGATGCTCTCCCTCTGATGGTCCTCACAGCTTTTTCTTTGTGACTCTCTTACAGTGAAGATAGCAGCGCTCTGCTCAGCAGGCTGCGGCAGTTGCAGTGTCACTTCACCTGGGATCTGAAGCTGGACGTGGACCTGGAAACCCTGAGCAGTCGACTACAGATTGACATAGATTTTCATCGGAGTCCGCGTAATGGAGGGAGTTGCTTCTACAGCCTCTTGGCTTATGTCAGGTACAGTTTCTGGAGCTGTCTGATGAAAGAAAAGCTAAAGTGGATTTATTCTGCTCATTCAAATCTCAACACTTTTATTTCTGGGACTCTGCTAGAGAAGAGCAGAGCTAACATTAGCAAGAAGAAAGACAGTTTTTCTCACTGAAGTCCGTCTGACCAAAGACAAATTTGACTGCCAAAGGAAGCAGTGGTCAGCATCAGCAGGATTTATATTTGAATGATAAAGAGATTGTTTTGTTTTCAGGATCAGATCCAACCCTGAGCTGTCTTTCTTCTGGACAATGTTACCTACCAGCAGTGTTCCTGCTAACATAAATGAATTTGATTTTTATTTCATTTTGTCTGGAGCAGATATAGCTGGCTCATTTTCAACTCACTTCATAAGTTAACAATATGAACGAGCCATCACCAGATTGATGTAGCATAGCAAAGCTACAAGAAGGAAAACTTTAGCTTGCTTTAAGTCTACCTCATTATTTCAACCTTAACAGATACATTTTATATGAAAAGAAAAATTCTTGAAGAATTGGACTAGAATTTCTAATTCTTTACAAAGCTGCCACAATCTTGATATAAATCTGCCTCCTGAAGTTTGTTTGGACACTGATTTTTCTGGTGGAATTGCAGTAATTATCTGCTGGCCCCTGGGGTCAAGAACCTCAGCAAAAAACCTTAATTGAATCACCAACAAGTGTTAGTCTCAGGTCAGTTTCTTGTCAGGTGTTGTAAATGCCTCGTAGTTAAACACCAGCTGTGGGACATCTGTTGATGACCTGTTGGTCCTCAGGTATCTTCAGGATCAACGAGAGGAAGCGCTGTCACTTTTAAACCAATCAGAGGAGACCATCAGGGAGAGTTACGGTGATGAGAGTGAGAGGCGGCTCATTGTGACGTATGGAGACATGGCCTGGCTGAAATATCATGATGGAGACTTTGAACGGTCAAAAAACTACTGTCAGAGAGTCGAGGACATACTGGTATGTACACCAATCAGATCGAACATTATGATCACTGCTGTCGAATTGAATTGAATGAAACTGAGTCTTTATTTTAAACACCAACAGCAGCAGAAAAATAAAAAAGACAAACAAACAAAGTGTCCTGATTTGTGTTTTGAGGTGAGACACAAACGACTGCAGGTCCATTGTGCGTCAAAACAATGATTTTATTTAAACACACATGTGTGGGAAGATGAGCACGATCACACACAAATAGCATCAATCTCCCCAGAACAATAAACGAGCAGTTGTATTTATAACATCAGGGTATCAGGAAATATAACGCCCCTTGTGCGTCCAAGCAGATAGATAACATGCATCAGTTCCAGTAATCCCCGACATTGGACACCTTCAAAAAAGAACAGTTCCTTCCTCTGTTCCTCCGCCACCGCCAGATGCTTCCTGTTATTTCATTTACTGCACTTCACTTATCTGTGGAAACGTCACTCATGCAGGTAGAACATGCCATTTTCGAGCAAAACAAGTCTATATACTGTGTATGTGTGTACAGGCAGCCTATGTGTGTCTTGACCTCTGTGCATGACCTCACTCGACAAACAAAGACATTTTAGAAGTATACTTCCTGCCTTATTCTGAGTCATTTGTTACCAGGCAAACTCCAATACAGCAGATTGCTGAACACACAGGCCTGTGTTCTGTTTACAGGTTATATGTAGTGTATTGTATTGTAAGCATGTATGCAATTCTTTCATAGCTATAGGTCACTTTAAATTACTCAATAGATCGGCCGAACATCGCGTCGCCCGAAGCTTCTGACCATTAATTAACTGACCGAGCTTCAACTCTTTAATAAGCACAAAAATGCAATATGTATAACATGATTACAGTTGCACCTGCAATGAAAGATTATTATGTGATTATGCTAACACCTGAAATACAGACTTTAATGTAACATCAACAGCTTCAATAAATGCTCTGATGAAATGATAATGATAAATGATAAGTAATGCAATAGTAATGATAATGGTTATGAATAGTAACAGTAAAATAATCCTCCAATCTCCAAAACAAAATGAAAAGAAAAGCCACAAATCAGTTTCACGTTCAAAAATGAGCAGGAAGAAGCATGATC